AAAGTAACGTTGATATAATATGTAAATAATAAATATTGATGTAATATACAAATAATAAACATTAAATTGTCAAAGTGGATATAATATAGAAATAATAAATGTTAATATAACGTACAAATAATAAACATTAAATTGTCAAATAGTTGGTAAAAAATATATGAGTAAAGGAATAATGTGTTTTATTGGAAATCACTTTATTTTTGTAATGTGATAAGCGGAATTATAAAAATAATAATAAAAATAATATATTTATTTTAAATAAAATAAATATTAATGTTAACAGATAAAATTAAATATATCCCAACGATTCTAACCAGAACCTAAGAGGGTGATTGGTTATAATTATCTGGTTATTTTTATCAAATATTTTTTTTACTCAAAATCTAATTAAAATTTAACTCAATACAACTCTCCTCAATACAAATCTCATTTAAACTAATACAATCAACTTTTTCAAAAAACTCTGGTCATCCAACAAATTCAATCAATCCAAAATAACTTATATCCAGTCACCTCTAAATTAACAATGGAGTCATCTATGATGTCACGAAGCACTCAACTAAATGTCGACATATCTCTCTATATATAACTCTCGAATGTGATGAGTCTAAGTGACAAACTTACACGCTTAGGAATCCTATGTGGCAAATTTTTTATCTTTGGTATTTAGCTTGAATGATTTTTAATTTATTTTCAATCTAAAAGTGGCTAGGCTTGGAACATCCATAAATATACTAGATATGTTGGATTTATTTTCAATTTAAAAGCATTAATTATTTTTTAATTTTATCTCCTATTGTAAACGTGATTTATTAGGTATCATTTTTTCCAATATTTCTTTAAAAATTATAACAAATTTACCAACTTAAGTTATAAATATTTTTAAAAGTTTTTATTTTTTTATTTATTAACAATTTTTTATATATAATATATCAAGTTAATTATGTCTTGATGAGCCGATTTGACATCTATATAATACATACAAAATAAATAAATAATTTTATTTATCTTTATAATTTAAAGTAAATTACCTATTAATATTACTTCAAAAAAATAAAATTATTTTAACTAACTGAATTAGAAAGTAGTGATCTGATATAAACTAAAAAAATTATAATATAAGATGGCAAGTCATGTAAGTGACGGTATTATTATTGAATAATCTAAATATAAATTATTGAATCACTATATTGATTGTAAAAGGTTTGTGGATAATTTAATTTTTATAATTTGGAGCGATCATGATAAAATAATTTAGTTGAAATAATATTGTATTATTATTATTATTATTATTATTATTATTATTATTATTATAGCAACAATTTATTATTATAGCAACAATTGTTTATAATATTTTAAATTAGTTTGACTATGCTATTAAAACTATTTGGCTAATTTTTTTAAAAGAAATTGTATACAGAATGAAAAAAAAAAGATAATATTGATTTCAGAATAAACAACTTGAAGAAAAAAAATTGTAATAGAATTGTTTATACTTATGCAATTTGTATTTAGTGTGAAGTATTAATAGTTGGTATTAGCATTAACTATTATATAATTTAATAGCAAATATATGATTACACTTAATAGGGTATATTAATGTGAAACGTAAAAATAAAATAGTAATGATAGAATTTTGTAACCGAAAATAAAGGAAAATCGAATAATTTTATTAAATGTTTTAGTCTAAAAAAATAATTAATGCTGGTCAGTTTTTTGACGGGAAAGTGCCATGTATGAGGTGGATTTATTAATTTCAATTACCAATGCCAACATGGCACACATGAGGCTTCACGTCCGTATAATTATATCTGATGTTTGCATTAAAATAAAACATTAATTGTGAAAGAAATAAACAAAATATCTTGAATAGCCTCGCCCTCCTCTCCCACAACCCTTGCGGCCCCATCGACGCCGTCGCATCCCTTGTTCAGCTCCGCCTCCTTGACCTTCGCGGCAACCGCCTCAACGGCACCCTCTCCTCCCTCACCCGCTGCCTCAACCTCAAGCTCGTCTACCTCTCCGGCAACGACTTCTCCGGCCATATCCTGCCAGAGATCTCCACCCTCCACCGCCTCAACCTATCTGTTGATACCCGAGTTCGGCTCCAATGAAAAGCCCGGTCTGAGAGATCGGGAGTCGGATGGTAACCGGTCGGATCGAAGGAGCCGGTCACCGAAACTGTCTGTAGGTGCTGATCAGAGTGAAAGTCAGAGTTAACGAGAATGACGACAAGAGTGGAATCCGGCGTCGGCATCTCGCCCATTACCGTGCAAGGTCGGCACCTCGATCCCCTGTCAAAGGGGTCGGCTCCCTTACACCCCCGTCACGGTGCCGACCCGGTTTAGTGCCGAAGTCGACAAAAGGCCACAGACATCGAAGAACAAGTCATCCTGGTCTAGCTCGGCACTACGCCAGGTCGGTCCTTGAAGGAATTACATGCTTACAAAATGATAGAATATGACCACTTGTCAACCAATGATCACCGATGGGACACCCCAAGCTAGCCAGCAGGTCTAGAGCATCTAGCCCGGTCCAAGAGCATGTCCGCATTAAATGCAGTCCATATCAACATTAAATGCATTGCAGGTAATGATTGGGAGATCCCGAAATTACTCCAAATCAGTCAGAGAAACGCCGGCCTGTCCCGCCGAACTACTGTACGACAAGATCGGTGAACAGTGTCACATTTAAGGCAACTATAAATAGCAGCCCATTTCATTTAATTTGGGTTGTTGAATCTCAACTGTAAAAACTCTCTCTATATTTTCTCTCTCTTAGATTTGTAAGAAACTCGTGTAAGGATCTGTAAGTACATCGCAAGTGCCGACCTCGTACGAGAGGCCGACCTCGTGATCTCTTAATAAAATCGCAATTAAACCATATTTCTTTGTCTTTTTTCCCATTACCTTTTCATCACTTAACCTTTTAACCGTTGACCGGAAACGTCCGTCAACACTATCCACCGACAACCTCCGCGGCCCCATCCCGCCGCCGCTCACCAATCTCACCCACCTCATCACCCACCACCTCCAGAACAACGAGATCTCCAACCCAATCCCTAATTTCGTCTCATCCCCTCCCCCAAAACTCACCGACCTCAACCTATCCAACAACGAGCTCTACGGATTTCTCCTCGATAGCTTGATTTCAAACACCCGCGGACAACCATTCATGACGGTGCCATCCAGCTCGAGCTCCCTCCCCCCCATTGTCGGCCACCAATTCGCCGGAAAAGCACAACAAAAAGCTCGGCAGTGGCTTGTGGCCATAGCGGTGGCGTTGGTGAAGTCGTGAGGTTGCAATGGATTTTGGGAATCGACAATTGATTTTCGGAACAGTTTCTTAATTGATTTTGGCAAAAATTCCTATGGAGCTATCGGATGGTTTTCTTATGGAGTCATCCTGTATTGACATATGTCCAAATTGTATTTATTGCAGGACACGTGACAATACACTATTGGTGAATAAGTGTGGATGGCTCCATAAGTCGAGCCATCTGACGATTCCATAGCAAAACTGTTGATTTTGGTATGAATAATCTTTTAAAAAGCCACCTAATATCTAACATGGGATTAGTAATTTAAATTAATAAAATCACCTCATATGTCATGTCATATTGTAGCATGGCTTATGGTGTCCATATGGATACTATAGAATTGTTTTGTTAATGTTTAGATAACAATTTTATATACTAGTACGAATCTCGTGCGATGCACGGGTAAAAAATATTTATTAATATTTATAAATTAAATTTTTTCATTAAATAATAAATAAGTATATTTGCTAATATTTTTTCATATTCGCATTAACTTATAGTGAATATTGGAATGATATTGCCATGTAAAATAAAGATCAAATTTTCTATATTTTGATTGTATTGATGCATTTCCAAATCAAATTATTTTTGATATTGTTGTACATTTTTAGTTTAGACTGTATTGTTGCGTTATTTGAATTGAAATTATTCTTACTCAAAATTAAATATTATATTTGCCTAAATTGAATGTCATAAAGAACATGTTATGGATGTTTCAAAATAGAATATTTTCTCCTAGGTTACAAATTTTGTTAAATATTTTTAGACGAAAACACAAATAGGATGTTACCAAAAATACAAATTATCATGGTATATTCACGTGTTTTTATCAAATAAATTTTATCGGAATTATTCACCAAAAATCTAATCTCATTTTAAAAATCGAGTTTTCTACGAATAGATAAATATATTATTTTAAAATTATAGTGAGAATCGAATTTTGCCAAAATTGTGTGGAAAATGAGATCGTTCAACAAAACATTGAAAAAGATGCACCGATAATTTTATCAATAAAATTAATTTGAAATTTATTCACCAAATGTGAAAAAGTGAAATTAAGAAAAAAAAAATGATAAGGTAACATACATTTTTAAAATATGCACTTGTTTTTTCCTAAAAAAAAAAGTATATGAATTTGATTTGCTCTTTTTTTTTTCCTAATCTCATATATTTTTAAAAACATTTCTTATAATAGTAAGTCTAACATTTAATTAAAAAGTCAATATTATTATTTATATATTTTTTCAACAACTTTTTATATTAGTATAATATATACAAGTTTGGAATAGAAAATTTCACCTTTCCTATAAATCCCCCGTAGATCATTACAAATCTCCGTAATTGATTACAAACAAGATTTTCCAACCGCACCCCACAAAATTCAACTTTAGTCTTCATAGAATGTCTCTGTCCAAAGTAATTGCACAAATAATNTTATGTAAAACTCCCAAAAAATATTGAATTAAATGTACAATTAACTAAAAGTTATCGAACTTAAATCATATATATATATATAGATTGAAAGAATTAAGAAATCTTAGAACATTCCATTTGCAAAAACAGATGATTTCCTTTCATTATATTATATGTACAAAAAATTTACAAGCACAGTTAAAACTTGAAACAAAAAAAGTGAAAAAACACTCTCCTTACTGCAAATGGGTTTCGAAATTCGTAACATCTACGGCGCCGACGGGACACGAAACCGGACCTGAGCCGCCGGCGACCTGTCCGCAACGCCGTGCCAGCATATTCCGCCGCGGCACGCCCCGTGTCCGCCGCCATCCGCCGCCGCCGCCGCCGAAGCTGCCACGAGCGCGCGCGCCGCCTTGCGCGAGACGTCCCAGGCGAGGCTCGCGACCAGGATCGAGGCCACCGCCGCCGTGGAAAGGAGGATCACGCAGCCGCCGCTGAAGGTCCGGCCGGTGGCCAGGCCGTACGCCTTCGTGGCGGCGATGACCGCCAGGTAAAGGGTGGTCAGGTTGCCGACTACCGCGTCGGAAATCGCCATCGGCTGTTGTGATATTTCTATATCGGCTTTTTTTTTTTTTAATTTTCAATCGCTTTGGGAATAGGACCGCTTTAAAAAGCTTGGATAGTGTGTATGTTGTTGTTACAGAATTGCGGTGAGGGGTGGGCAAGTTTGAGCTTATCTGTTTTGTACTAATAAATTGTAACAATAATCTTTACATGTAAATATATATATTTTTTTTATATTTTATTACTTTTATTTTTAGTGCGTAGTGGAATTTGAAAAAAATGAGGTGAACATACCACCACAGCACCACTCGATGGTTGCAATAATGAGCAATGAGTGTGATGGGCTGAAATCCACATATAACAAATGTTAAGAGGACGCGTGACTTAATGAAATTATAACTTTTAGAATTGAGAAAATATTAAGGTAGTGATTAGATTCTAAAAAAAATTATTTTGATTGGATTGATATGATAAAGTGGGTTGGTTTCGAAAAAAATTAATTGAGTGACAGATTTGAGTAGAATTTGAGTTTATGAATAAATAATAGTATTTAGAATGTAATGATTGGAAGTTGTTCGTGTAAAAGTAAGAGAAATATTATGTGAGAATAATTGATTGTTATTATTTTATTATAGTGATATATTCACGAGAATGAGTTTAATTAATCTAAGTTAGATTTTAAATTAAAAAATTATAATAAAAATATAAACATAGAAATCACATATATTCACAACAAACAAGACTAAAAAACATAATTTTTTTTGTATCTACCTACTACCAGTAAATTTTATTATTGTCTCTTTATATACTATCCTCAACATTGTGTATATTTTGGATTTTCAGTATAAATTATTTAGGATACTATTCAACTTAGATTAAACGAAGTTGATATATTTAACAATCTGGTCAGTCGGCCGGAGAACTTTCAAGCGGAATTCTTAAGGGTAATCTCATAAATATAAATGAAAAATGTATTGAAATTAGGGCGTTGTGTTCATTTTCTTTTTAAGCTCTCATTTTGTCTCTTCGCATAACCGAATAAGAAAGTGTTGAATTTCTTGTGCTAAAAATAAAAAATAAGATGCTTTGCCTTTCATGATCCATAAGATTAGGTGTAAAGTTGGTGCTTGGTATAAAGAAAAGTTCCTCTTTTAAGTCCTACTCAACACTTATGGAGGCATTGAATGATGGCTAGGGCCATTTGGAACGAGGTAATTAAGCAAGCAAAATTAGAGGATTGATTTATTGATGACTCCTCCAAGGATTGCAGGGATGAGAATCTGAATCACCTAACGATCAACCACTATTNACTGTTTATGCAACTGATCTTTTTTTCTTTTTTTTTTTTGTCTTAAACAACCAAACAAACCAAAAGGACATTAGTCCGATACATCCGATAAGAAATAAGGAAACCAACAAGGGAGGGACTCACTCCAAACACTAGTTGAATGCGATAAGACCGCCCACTTTGCTATATTGTGAGCTACTCCGTTTTGGTCCCTAGATATATATTCACATCTACCACAATCGAGATGAGACAAAAGACTAATAATATCAACAAACACCCCGAATAGAGGGTCTAGATCGTGAAGAAGAGAAATGCCACTGACCACACCCATGGAGTCTGTCAAGACCAACTGGATTTTTAAACCCAGGTCCGCCGCAACGCGCAACCCGAACCGAAGGGCTAATGCTTCTGCTAGTAGCGGGGAGAAGGAACCCGACATACAGGATTTTCCACTACTGAATCTCCATCTTGTTGTGTTTGATCATTCTTGCTATGTCTATACCTTGATAATCGTTATAGCCCCTCTTTGTCACTCACTCAATCCATTTGGAAGGATTTTCCGGCTGATTTATACTTTTCCGGAAGACCGAGTTGTTAACTATCAATTTCGTGTAGTGTAAGTTGGATTTTATTAAAATGTAAAGTTAGATTGCAATCCAAAGTGCATACAAAGTTCAGGTTGGTATAAATTATATTCATTGATAAAATTCAATCTAGCAAAACATAACAGTAAGAAACAATCACACATTTTTTCAAAAGATATGCATCGTTGAAATTAAAATGTCGTATTCTAGAAAATGATGTAGAAAAAACGACATGTTAAAAGCTAGTGCTAGAACTAGCATTAGACTCGGTCAAAACTTGTCCTTGATCAAACCGGAAGACCGGTCCCCCCCACATATCCTTAGCTAGTCGTCCCAGCTCCCTCTCAAGGTCACTAGCATCAATAGGGTCACTATCATCAATATAATCAATAAGATCACTAACATCAACAGTGTCACTATCAAAAATATCGTTCAAAAGATAAAAAATGATGTTTTCCTCAAAATCATCCTCCTCAGGTGTGCATATTTATAATTAGAGGTATGATGATAGGTTGATTTGTCTAATGATTCGTTCGATTCATCAAAATGTGAAGTCCATTATGCTAGTATTATATTATACTTCTATTCCAATGTGGTCTATCGTTGTAAAGATTTTTTTTGTGGTCAAAATGTGATTGGCATCTCTCTAGTAAAAGTCTACCTTTTTTGTGGATTTCAAACTAATACACTAATAGGGTAAACCAATCATTAGGGCAGTATAAAGATGGGATTATTTAAATTTATCACGGGCTCACCGCGAGCTGATCAAATTCCAAAAAATGTAGTTTGTGTATATAACTATGGACAAGTAATTGACAGAGCAAACGAACTTCAATATGTCTGAAATTTTGGGTATATGACCGTCTCGGCGATAAAAATTCGACAATGGATGACATACTTGAAACTGATGTGAGGCGACACCAAAATTAGGCCAAAAATAGAACAACTTAAATTATTTTGGACGAAAAATAGAGTTGACAAATGAAATCTGAGATACAAATTTGTGATTACGACTGTCTTGATGAGAAAAATTCATTGGTGAGTCATCCGACTAAAATTTAAACCAGAAGGCACAAAATGACCCCAAGATAGAGAACAAATTTAGGTCTAAATAATTTTGGATGACAAATTGAGAATGCAAACAAGCTCCAATTAAGATCAAATTTTGTGGGTATAGTTGGTTCAACTTGAATAATCTGATGGTGGGCCACCCATCTAAATCGGATGCTACATGGCATCCAAATATAGAAAATAACAAAAATTGTTTGGATGGAAAATTGCATTGGCATACGAACGCTCGGCTAAAAGTTTACGGGTACAACTGCCTCAATGAGAAGAATTCAAGGTTGGGTCGCTCACTTGAAACGGAGATCGGACGACATTCGAATTAGGCCGGAAAATTAATATTGAACTTTATTTCATCACTAATTATTAGTGGACCTTATTGATGAATTGTTTAAATTAATGTATCAAGTTTAATTTGTGTAAAAAAGTTTGGAAAAGAGTTCAATATAATAGATTAAAAATAAAATTATGTTAAGATGTGACACAACACGATATATCTCAAAATATGTTCAAGAAATTACTTTTAATTGAGCGCTTATGTAATTAGCTCAATGAAATATCAATTTATATAAATGTAACAAGTGAAATTTTGTCAAACGCTAGAAAATTAAAATATTTGGGTATGCCAACACTTTATCATTCCGTGGGTGTTTAATTAAATCAGATAAAATATCTAAACAGACATAAAGAAAGAAATAAAACACGGCTTCTTATTATTTTTAAAAAATAATGACATTTTTATTCTTGCAATTTATATGTCCATGCACATGACATTTTTTCTTTTTTATATTTACATTTGTCCTTTTCAATTTTTCTAGAACAAGAGTTGAGGAGCAGTTAATTGAGCATTTAAAGCAATTAATACTGGCACTACTTGTTACTGAGTCAGATCAAGTTGGCATTTTCCGCTAAGAAAATCAGTCCCGTTTAATATATTTCACCTAAAAAAAATTAACTTTTTTTCTTATTATGTATAAAAAATACTCACTTTTTCTTATTTTTATCCAAATATAAACATAACGGGCCCCTATTATATGGCCATACCGTGATCATTCATGTTTGTTTTACATTAATGTCTAGGCCATTTGCACTGTAGATAATTTTGGACATAAATGTAGTTAAATTATTTGTTGTTGAAATAATTTAGTAAGCAAACTTGTTGAAATTATTTGACTAACTCAAAATTAGATTGTTTCACGTAGTTCGAACTCAAAAATAAAAATAAAAATAAAAATAAAAAATAACTCATACTTTAAAACTTTTTAATAATAATTCCATACATATAAATATAGAAATGAAAATTAGATATTAAATTAATGTTAGCAAATGGGCTCGTTGTTTTGTATGTTTTTGTACTTATCTTAAGTATTTATGAGATCTTGATTTTTTCTTGTTTTAGTTTATATTAGGTTTTTTTCGGTCCATTTAATAGATTTTGCTCATTTATGTATTTTCGAGTCGTTTTGGTATTTTATGCATTTAATGATTCTTTTTATATTTTAATTTGTAAGAAAATGCTTTACGAAAACATGCTTGGCGTCGCGAGAAATCAACAAAAAACACTTCGAAAAATGCACCGAAAAAGTATCGAGAAACTTGCCGAAAAATTCGTCGGAATGTTCCTTACAGGTCATCCAGGACAACGCCCGATGGACCTATGCCCAGCGAACCAAACACCAGTCTGGCCCCACGGAGTGTAGCCCGCACCTGAGTGCCACACGTCCAATGCAGCAGTTGCCCAGCACACATGCGGGCCCCGACAATCAGCACACACACGAGCCGTAAGCTGTCCCTCGAGTTCTTTCCATCAAATGTGTGTTTTAATGTGTGTTACCTTGTGTAGGGTATAAATACACTCGCTGACCCATTTCTTGCCAACAACTTGTACTTGAGAATCATATGCTTAGTTTTTGTTTCTCTCCCTCTCTCTAAGTGTTCCATGACCCAATTAATATTGTTTTACTTCTCCATCAAGATTGCAACTTTCGGTTTATTTCTAGTTGTGGATGCGACTAGAGACTTTAACACGTAATCTAAGGTTCAACAGCTCATAAGTTACTTCGACTTTGCTTATATTATTCGGACATTTTCTTT